TGAAGGTGTCTCCTTACTCCATGAAACGGACTCTGTAGTCCAGTGCCAAAACCCCGCTGCCTTGTGGTAAGGTTTTTGAACCGAAGGCTTTGGTTGAGAAGCCTAATCTTTCATCTGTCTAGGCCTGGGCAACCTGATAGTATTCTGCCCACGCAATACAGTGAACCTTTCTTCTAACAATTTCTTGATGCTCTGGCCGTCGCAGAGGATAGTCAAAGGCTCCCTATCTGCTGCTCAAGCCTTCTCATCTTATCCCCCTGTTGTGAAGCTGCTTCCGTACTGCTATTCTGCGCCTGCGGGACTTCGACCGCCTGATTGCTCAATCACGCGCCCAACCGACCGACGGGATACAGATGGCCATGGCTCGGTAGAACAGGAAGTCCATTCTACACGATAGGTCAGTTCTATTTATTGGTGAACGAAACATACTAATTTTGGAAGCGTTTGGCTCTCAGCCAATGTGAGTTAATTCCGTCCCACGGATTTTCCATATTTGGCAGAATGGTTCGCCTCCGTTGACTCTGGCTTGTATTTGCTGGCCAATCAGTTTGCACCCGATTTCCAAATTTGGCAAAATAGTCGAAGGTCGTTCCACGCTCGTGCTGGTGACCTTCGCATGCAGCAGACAGCTCACGTGCTCCGTGGTAAGCCTGTGCGCGACTTCGTATCTGGACATTGGCTCCTGTACTTTTTCATTCTTATCGTCCCGTTCCAACTTTACTTTTATCTCCCCCATTTTCAATCCCCCAATTCTTGACCCTCACCCATCTTGCTTCAACAGTCGCTTATCTTCTAGTTTCAACTCACACACAGTCGAAAGGCGTCGCTCCAATCCAGTTGGCAAGTCCATGTTCAACCAAGCGGACAACGTCAGTTCATCCGTTTCCCTTTGACGTCCTCGCGTCACGCTAAGACTGACATGCTTCAACGTGCGCTCTTTACTTACAGATTGACCAATAGGCAGCACTTGCTCGCACATTAGATACCCCGTCGATCCATATTTGCTGTATATCAGAAACCCGCCTGCAAGATTCGAGCTCCGTGCTTACCCTGTGAGCCCTCACATGCGACACTGGCGGTACCTCCTCATTGCGCCTGTTTGGCGATGATGCAGCTTCAAATGTCGGTCAAGCTGGCGTCGGCATGGTTTTGAGTCCCCGGGCTGAAGCTGCCCTGATCGACTGGATCCCAGTCAACACTGCGCCTTTAGATTAGCTGGTTCGTTCCATGCTAGTCGCACGGGAACATACAGTGCCTGTTTGCCATTGCGGCCTACGCCCCTACAACCTGTAGCACCGATTCGGTGAGATGATTTCTATCAGAAACTGAACGATCTCCTTCCTTACAGAAGAATCACAGATACTGTGGTGTTGGCTGGCGATCTAAACGCGTAAGTCGGAAAATTTTCCTCTAGTGAGCTTCACTTGAGCAATCAACATGGTGTAGGCTCCCGTAATGATAACGGTGAGCGATTGCTACAGTTGTGTGAAGATGCTCGTCTCTTTCTCGCGAGCACAAACTTTCGACACAGCATCAGCAAAAGCGTGACTTGGCGCCCACCAATCATGGACGCAAATCTATCATATCGCGATCAGTAACCGCTGGAGAGGCTGTGTCCAAAAATGTCACTTAATTTGGATCACGAGGGTGGACACTGATCACGTATTTGTTTGCGCCGACCTCCGGGTGTGTTCCGGTAGACTTCCCCAACGTCGATGTGAATGGATTGACACCATCCAGCAGGTGAAGCCAGGTGTTCTGAATCTGTATCAAAGTGCGCTGACATACGGGCTGAGTAAGCGCCTACTGAACACCGTCGAAGATCACTGGATACATATTCGCTAAATGTTACTATCAGTAGGCATGTCTTTATGTGTCAAATCAAATTGCCAAACTGGACATTGGGTCTCTACACAGTCTCTGGAACTTATTGAAGCTCGCCAACGTATTCCGGCTGGAAGCGAATACAATGAGAACCGCAAAAATCCCAGGGCAAATCTGCGTGCCAGCCTGAAGAAAGACCACGAATTCTGGTGGTCTCATCATGCATCGGAGATGGAAGCAGCCACTACCGTTAGTAATCATCGTAAGTTATTCTGTCTGATACGGGAAACAGACAGCAGGAGACTTGGTGTTAGCGAGACCATACGCCACAAGAGTGGGCAGCTGATCCACAGCCCATCAAAACACTTGGAGCGTTGGGCTGAACACTGCAAGAAAGTTTAACCGACCTGAATTATTGCTTTCATTTTTGGGTATTGAGCGCCCTTGTCACTGGGCCATCTCCTTGGATCCGCCCTCACGCGCAGAACGTGAGATCAGGCTGTTGAAATCGCATGAAGTCGCAGGTACACATAGAATTCCCCAAACCATCTTCAGATTCGGGGGACCTGCTCTAGTAGATGATTTGCACGAGTTGCTAGTGAAACGTTAGGAGCAGGAAACTGTCCCGACAGACTGGAGCCGCTCCGTCATTGTCCCAATTTTCAAGGGACACTCCCGTTCGGAATGTGGCAATCATAGAGGGATCAGTCTGATCTCGATTACCTCTAAGTTGCTTGCGTCTGTCATTCTCCACAGACTGAGTGGCATTTGCGAAATCTAGGTTCGTGTTGTGCAAGCCGGGTTTCGTCGAGGCCGGAGCTGCATCGACCACATCTTCACTTTGCGTCAATTATTGAAGCACCGCCATGTTTATTGGCGCTTGTCGTGTTTCTGGAAATAAAGGGTGCCTTCAACTCATTTGATCAATGTGCCCTATGGGACTGTCTGCTGAGGAAAGGTGTGCCTGATAAATACGTTAACATTATCCATGCGCTGTATGCGCATAGTTCGGGCAGAGTGAGGGTTTATGTCTAACTGTCGCCACCCTTCAGTATCACCAGCGGTATGGGAGAAGGTTGCCCGCTGTCACCTTTCCTATTTAACTTCGCGGTTGACAAAGTTATGGAATCAGCATTCGCTGGACACGACCTAGAAGGTGTGGAGCTACTTCCTGGTGAGCGACTTTTTGACTTGGAGTATGTGGACGATATTGCCCTAATCTGTGACAGCTCCCAAACGTGCCAAGCACCACTGGACCGATTAGCACTGGCTGTCCATCGTTTTGTGCTATGCTTTGTTCCATGAAAATGCAATGTACTTCTCCCAGATTGGTAGAGACCCATCCCTGCGCTAACGCTTGGTGGTGATCAGCTAGAAGTCGTTCAGGAACTTAAGTACCTGGGCAGCTCTATCAGCGCCATCGGGACAGAAGATGATATCATAAATTGTATAGCAAAAGCTCGGGATGCTTTTGCCAGTCTCCGCCATCTGTGGCACTGGCGTGACATCACTCGCTCTGAAAGGCAGGGTTTACAATGCATCCGTCCTTACAACCCTCTTGTACGGTTGTGAAACCCGGCCCATTAAGTCGACAGACATAAAGAGGCTAGTTACGTTCTGTGTTGGTTCGTCGCAGTTATACACAAGCCCTACAGCCACCACACATCCAGGAAAGCGTTAGACGGCCGTTTCGTCAGTAGCGCGCACCTACCGAATCCTGCCGGATTCGAACCCACGACCTTACTCTTGCGAGTCAGCGACTTATGTCACTGAGCCATGGGCGACGGCAACGGACCGCCATGACTGATGTCTAACTGCGAAATAGCGCGGCTCATCCTCCATTGTCTTGCATGTTATGAATGTGCAGAGGATAGGGCTGGCCCCCAGAGCAACTACTTCGATCACCGGTACCTTCGCAACTTAGCTGATGTTTGGTGAGAGCACCGCTTGAACAATGAGCATGTTCGGCGTCGCGTATTTGGTGCAGGAAGAGCGAGTGAACCGCTCAGCACCATTATATCACCCACCAGGTTCCGATGGCTGGGCCACGTGTTACGCATGCCAGCACACCGACTCTCGTGACGTTCATAGTTTGCGCGCTGGGGGGTGCGGTTAGAAAAGGAGGAGGGGAGGCCAAGCGATGATTTGTTCGAGAGTAATGGAAATCCTCACTTCGAAACTGGGGTCCTAAGGATGATATATACGTTTGGTTGGACACACTTGCTGATATGACGATGAGCTGGCCGCAATGTCGTTTGTGTTGTGAGTTTCTTTGTCCATCCCCTCCCTTTAGGTTCTTCCTCCAAACCCGGTCTTATGCAAAACGCATAATATAATATTTAACCTCATATTCTTTGTAGTGTAATTTATAGTGTAATTTTTTAGTCTTTTATCTTTTTGTATTGCGGTACATTAGCTGAGGTGTGTTTCTCGCCCACAGCTATCGTGTACTGATGACGATGATGATGATGACTATGTTATCTTACCTCCCTTTATTACAGCTCGTCGGATGGACTATCTTATCTTTTACTCATCTTGTAACTATGCTTCCATTCACTGATTTTGCATCTTCAAGTATTAGGCAAGTGCGCTTACACGAATGGAGTCAATTAACCACTTGTTCACCGGCTAATTCCGACGGCTTGAACACAAACCTAACTAGTACTGCTCCTCCTGCGTTTGAACTGCCTTAACTCCCTTTGAATTGTAAAATAATTGTGAGATTCGTGCGAAAATTCCTGTCTCGTACTCTTGTCTTTTCGGGTTTGCGTCACGGGGCTTGACAACAAAAAGTGAAGCATGCTGGATAACAACTTGCTACTTAGTAATTTGGGTTGTTACTATCTCGATTTAGTGATGTTGGCGGCCACCTTACAGGAAACGACTGAATACTCCGGTCCTCCGCAGATTCCATGGCCATATGCATATTTAGTTTTACGACAGCTGTTTTGGGTTGCAGTCATTAACGATTTGACTTTAAGCTTCTATTTGATCTTATTTTTCATAAAGTTTTGCAGTCTAGCACCTCTCCTATACCTTAACATCCGATTCACATTAAATGAGCACCGAAACGTGTCTGCGTCTCTCCGGTGCACATGTATCACTATCAGCTTTCTATCACTGCAGCTAGGTTGTACTTTTTGTGTGATTGCTTGCTCTATCAATACATTTTCCAGCTTCTACTTCAGATACCACCTCCGAAGGTCCTCAAGATTCGCATCCCTCAGCCGCACATTTAGATTTGACTGACTCAGAGCTGCGCACTCACGTCCTCGAGGCTGCTCTCAAATACGTCCCTCATTATGGTTGGTCCAGAATGGCTGTGGAGCAAGCGTGTCTTGCTGAATCTCTTCCGCCAGGTCTGCACACCTTGGCTATGCCTCGTGGGGGTATCGATTTGGTTCTCTACTTCTATGCTTCGCGAAACGAGCAGCTCGCTCGAGCAATGTGCGAGTGGCGTGCAACGGAGACCGCACAGTCGATCGAAGCGTATCAGGAAAGTATACCACCGAAGTAAGTTCAGTTAGTCCAAGTGCGTCCTTCGCCGAGGTGTAACATTGTTTAACACTGGGTCTGCGACTCCACACAATCTTATGTCAGTGGATATGGATGTGAAATAGCCACTGCATGATCCTATTTCATTAACAACAATTACTTATCTCTTTCGCGAGACTCGCTTGAGCAATAATCACCGCTCTCCAATAAAAGACTCAGGGAAATGTAACTTCCTGCCACAATGTTTACTCGCATTCGAATCAGAGTTTTTAAGTAGATCTTCCGTTATCAATATTGTAAGGTTCAATGCATGACAATGTCGATGTAGCACATGTAGCCAATCAAAAGCGGCACAGGTGGGGACATGGAATTCTTGACAACAAATGACAATGAGCATTTTTGATGAACTCATAAAATTTCGGTCATTTTTGCGGCATCGATTTCCAAAACTGTCTGAACCGTCACTCTGTTAGCCATTTCAATCAGCACTTTTTTGCTTCTGCTCACTTTCCACCCTGGCCCTGTATTTGACATTGATCTCTACCATTCCACGGCCCAGAACGTATTTGTCTTTTTTCCGCTAGTTATTTTACTTACATATTTATTTTTCCTTCGTATCAGGGGCGTTCCAACCATTATCGTCTCACACGTTTTATTGCCCTTACAGCCCACTATCAAGGACATATGAACTATCAGAGGATCTGTGCTGTGCACCATTTTCCTTTTGAAACACCTCACTTTCGCGAACTCTGTCCCAAGCTCTTGACGGTCTTGCGGTATTGGCTGCTGGTCATCTGAACTACTTCTGTTCGGTTGTTCGAAGATGACGTTTAAGAACTAATTGGTGCTTAGCAAACAATACGACACTTCTTCATCCTGCATTTACTACTTACACTAATCGCATGTGACGTCGGATCTTTAAACCAGAGGCAACAAACTCGTCTCTCATGCTGTTACCCTTTTAACTGTTTTCCACCAACTATACTAAATTGCATCGGAAACACGCTGACACATCGCACCGACTTTTCGTTCTCATGCGACCATTTCCAATCGCGCGTTAGTTGAAAATGCTTCAAGGTCGCCTGCAGCTACGCATATTTGAAAGGGCAACTGTTGGATAACAAGCCGGATGCGTTCTCCTTTCGGTCACCTATCCAACAGTCTTACCACACATAGAAATGTTGCATAGGCATCCTTTTCTGGACTCTTACCGGCTGAGTAGCCTACAGCACACTGGTCAGACCCAACTGCTTTATGGTCGCTGCCGTATAGACTGATACTGAGCGCTTCGATCTGTCCCCTCAAAATGCGAGGTATCGCTATAGAATCTGGTTAACGCGTTTGCAGGTCTAGCCGTCACCGAACAGCGACTCGCAATATTGATCGGTTTATGCGGTCAGGTGGCTGTATCACCCTTGTCAGTCAACTCACTGGATAGGTTACAGTCACTGATGGAGCTCCCATGGTCGCAGTCGTTTGCGAGACATCAGCCTACCGATGTAAAGCTTGGTGCCCAAATCCGCAGTACCTCAGACTTCACTCGATATGGATCATATCTGATGAGGACGCTGACTAAACCATCTTTGTCTCAGTATTAATAGTTTTGTAACTGGGCTCAGGCGCTCTTTCGGCTGAGCTTTGCACTTGGGCCGTCGCTGTTGGCTAGGTTTCATCCTTTTTACATCGGTTGCCTGTATTCCACTTCAATTATTCACTATTTTTGCTCACCATTCCTGGATGAATGAGAAGGCTGAGTAGTCAGCGGATGACAATTCAAAGTGATTGATCTGCCAACCACACTCCTTTTACGATGTTGACCTTGGGATCAATCAAAACGCTCATTTGACGCGGTCGTGAAGTCGGTAATGTTCCATCTTTCTTCTCAGTCACACAGCCATTGTACGGTGGGAAAGCACCTGGCAGCCGTTTCATCTTTTCGAGACTTGTCAGCAACACACGCCTCCGCTCGATGTAGAGCCAGAACTATCGACCCTACTCTTAGGAGCCAATGATTGGGATCACTGGGCCCATCGCAACGAGACTGGATCTAAGCGTGGTGACCTTGTTTCCGTACCCCTGTGACCCATTGAGCTACGCTGAGTGGCACTTTCCAAGTGTATTCAGAGCCACTCATACCAGACAGGTCAATGGTTAGGGGTCAGACTAACTCAGTATGATAGTCCACTCCCGTTCGGAGGTTAGGGAGAAGTCAATGACCCTGTTCCTTTAAAACCTAGCCAAGAGAGACAACAGGTCTACGGGTTATAAGCTCACAGCTCTATTGGCGAAGAGCGCGAGCGCCACGCATTGTCTCTGACGGTGGGAGGGCGCCTTCCGCTACTCAATGGATTGCTACCGCTCGCCTTAAGCCAGACATCCCCTGGTCAAATTGGTACAAACCCACCAATTCCCACCTGCAGCTGACCGTGGTCACAGGTGTGTAACGTAATACGGTCTTACAACACATGTGTATTGCTCTAAATCTTCAAACATTGTGTGGTAGGCCTCAAGCAGATCTCGATGGGTCTCTGCAATCGCACACTTGAGCTGGACCTGCTCCCTAATGCCTTGTGGATCAGACTATTGAGCCAAAGGCTCCAGGTGGAGTCCGTCAAGCGAATCTACAAATCCCCCACAGCGTTGTATGTCAGACTATTTAGCCAAAGGCTCCGAGTGAAGTCCCTCAAGCGAACCTCCATGTATCCCACTACATTGTGGGTCGGACTGTTCATTCAAGGGCTAAAGGCCAGACACTTCGAATAAAACTTCTTTCTCGGAATGGGCAGCCGGAGAGTATCATCTGTCTTCTCGAACACGCCGAAAGCACTCCCTCTTCTTGTTTTTCTCTCCCTTCTCAGCTTTCTTCTTCCCCTTTATTGATCATGAAACTGCCGCTGACCATGCATCTGCTGCCATTGTTACATGTAGCTCTTCATCAAATCTAGTGTTTCACTTCACATTGGTTCCTTTAACTTCCGCACTCTAGGTCAGATCGGCCATCAGGCAGCACTGACTCTGACTCTTCACTCTCTTGGTATTGGTGTGTGCTGTATTCTCGAAACACACATCAAGATAACAGCGTAGTGACGAATCTTCGGCTCTCTTGTTCTGATTCTAACAACGATGACTACACTGCGTTTCTGGCGGTACTCAGTCAGTGATTCAGGGTATTTACGGTGTCGGTATGGCCATCAGCAAATATGCTGAAGGCAGTCTGCTCGACTTTATACCGGTGAACAGCCGCATGCGTGCGGTTCAACCTCGAGACAGCGTCTGAAGACAAGGTGACTTTTCATCGTCTAATTTTATGCCCTTGCTGAATGGAGTTCAGGGAGTATCAAAAACGATTTCTATCGACAGCTCTCATCTTCTCTTCGGATGGTTACTTCTTGATTGTTCCTGGTGACATCAATACGCAAGTGGATCGTCTTTCAGACTCTGAACAACACTTAGGCGGCAGTTTCGGACTCGATACACGCCGAACAGACAATGGTAATTGATTCCTGCAACTGTTCGCAGGCCACAACCTTTACTTTGACAGCCCTGCTATTCAGCACAAACGTTCACACTGCATCACTTGGCGCCCATCAAATTCCTTAATGACCTGGACCCAAATTGACCATATTGCTATCAGCTACAGATGGCATACGTCAGTCCAAGGCTGTCCGTCAATTTGGAGCACGTACCTGGATTCCGCCTATACTCTAGTGCGCGCACGCCTGACGCTCACTCTTCCCTCTTTTTAAAAAAGCGTCTATCTTCTAACTTTCTTAAGTGTAACTTGAACTCGCAATCTGTAGTTCAACAATATCACGACGAACCGGCCCATCAATTGTCAGTGATGAATGAGGTTGGTGTGTCGAATGCTGACTAGGATCGCCTCAAGTGTGCCAGGAAGAAAGCCTTTGACGCATGTTGTGCGCCCAACTTCAAATGTCCTAACTGTGAATGGATCCTTGTGGCATCGATCCGTTTGATCGAAGCACAAAAACTGGTACCGATGGGCACTGAGTTTAGGCGTGTGCTTAATCCTGGAACAACGGCTGACAACTTTTCTTCGTATCGACTGGGAATGTTGGTGGATGACAAGGACCCGTGAGATAGAAAAAGCCAGTGCTATTCCGACTCATCCGGAACACCGGTCCGAGAAAGTCAACAATAGCTGAGAAAGACGGATTCATTCTCAGTCTCGTCGACTAGCCCGTTGGTACGAAACATTTTGAAAAGCAGTTCAGCAAGGCTACTGCGACATTGTCACTTGCCGAATCAGCTGAGCCGACATGGGAAGTAGATATCACAATTCTCACTTTGGAAGATATTTGACATGAGCTTTTCGTGTTGAAACAAAACAAGGCTCCTGGACCCCAAGACGTTTGTCCATCTTTGCTGAAGGATGTTGATGACACTTCGTTGACTTGACTCGCTCCTTTTTTAACACGATTTGGAACAGACTGGCGACTATCAACTGTCGTGCCCATCTTCCAGAGGGGTCAGCGTACTTTGTGCGAAATTCATCGAGGCATTATCCTTGTTTCTGTTGCCTCCAAGCTTCTCACGAATATCATTGTCCGATGACTTACTGGTCCCCGTGAGAACTGAATCGCTGCAACCTAGGCTGGCTTCCGCCCTGGTCGTGCTTGTATCGACCACACATTCACTCTTCGCCAAGTTTAGGAGCAGGACACACACACAGACGACCGAGTATTGTGGTTTTCCCTAACTTGAGTGTGGTCTTCGACTCCGTTGATCGCGCCAGCTTGTGGCACTGCAGATCCATGCAAGGCGTGTCGGCTAAACTTCTTTCCATTATACAGCCTCTCAACCGTGACTCCCGAGGCCGTGTAAGGGCCTACGGTAAACTGTCTCCTGAGTTCCCCACGACAAGTGGGGTTCGACAAGGTTATCCTATACCTCCTTTCCTCTTCAACTTTGTTTTCGAAATGATCATGAAGGACTCGGTATTTTCAGACTATTCTGTAGTGAAAGATCTGTTAGGTGACCGAATGACAAACTCGGAG